TTATAGGTAACGCGAAATTGAATTCGCTTTGTCTTGTACTGTAATCATGTATTTCATTTGTGCTGGTGAAAATGTCTATTAAATATTTAATTCGGTAACATTTTGTGTTTAATTTTGTAGATGAAAATAGCTAATTGGTGTCTTCTTCTTGTTTGGAAAACCTAGTTAAAATGTCCACCGAACGTATATCGTAATTTTCACGTTATATTATATGCAAAACGCTCTACTTTGGAGCTTCTGGAGTTTATCTGATAATCTTTTTCCAAACAGCCCCAGATCTGAGAGCAGTAAAGTGGGGTTGGATTATCCATAAGTATATTGTAATTAACGTTTGATTATCTACTATATCTCGCAGTCGCCTTAAGATGCTAAGGCCCGAATTAATCTTTTTTGTAATTTTATCAACTCGGGCATTCCGCCATATTAAAGTTTCATGCATCTATCATTAACTGATTTTGTTGTTTTAACTTTATCAATTCTACCCCTCTTATATGTATATGTGGTTCTATATTTATTTGTTAAGTCTTTTATTACTACCTATTATGATATATTCCGTTTTCGTCTTGTTTAAAGTTAGTTTGTTAGCCGACAACGTACCAAGCCGACACATTTTTTAAATCATGATTAAGTTTATCTGTGATTACACTAACATATTATCGCTAGATGCTTCAATTTGTGTGTCATCAGCAAACATATTTGTACTTGTATGCTCTATAGGCATTTTGATAAATCCTTAATGTAAATCAAGAACAATTTAAATCCATCTCAGAAACAAGGTATGTCGATCGGATCACTGCTTAAGATATCTGAATTGACATCCCCAACAATTATACTCTCTTTATCTTCTTTATCAATCAATCTAAGGCAGTTTTCGAATTTATATAGCGTGTCTATGGGGTCAATTTGGAGGCCTATACCATGTTGTTATTAAAAATGCTTTATTTCTATTTTTGAAAATTTCAATATCTGTATCATTACGATTAGACCTAATACGATAATTGATTGTGCATGTCTCGTATCAAGAATCCGACACCACCACCGAATCTATTTCTATGTTCGCCAACCCAAGAATAACTGTATACCGATATATATATCATCATCTTGGCTAGAACATCAATGTCATTGTTACTCATTACAATTCTTAATTCATCTATATATGTTTAGGTAGGTTGGCAATATTTAAGCTTGCAATTTTGAAACCTCAAACTTTTGGCATTAATAAGTCATTATAATTATAGAGTTTTAGTAGATGCTTGTTTTTCCTCTTTTAATTTCCCTATCTATCTTGGGGTATGTCAGAAAGATTAGAACTATGATAAACTAGGTAGTCTAAATGTTTATTTGAGGAAGGTCTAGTCAGTTATTTAGGAAGTCTACGTAATTCTTTGCCAATGCTATAGTATACTTCTTAATTAACGTTAAAGTTCGTTAAGATTAAATCCGATGCATTAAGGTAAGAAGCATCGATATTGGCATGGGAAATATAATGCCATCGATGGGTTTTACAAACCTCAGCCAAAAGAAGGTTCGTTTTCCTAACTTTAATGTTCACATCTACATCTTGCCTCTGAATAATCTCTGATTTTGAGTTAACTCTGATCCGCAATTTCCCAAGGTTCCTTTCGCTGCATGGACATAATTTGTTCCCACATGTAGCACAACAAGCTCGGGATTCCTTTCGAGAGTTGGCTTAACATAGTATTTCATGTCTTCGGTAGTTGCTCCGGGAAAGATCTTGACTATGATTTGTTTGCCAGTCGAGCCCCGTATAATTTTGACGGGTTCAGCACTTTTAACATTGAGTCTCCTAAGATCGCTATTGAGCCTCCTCGTGTAGGCTTCAAGCCATTCTGTTGCTGATTCATGTTTTCTCTCCGCACGATTCTGGATACAGTTTCTAGAGCTTTTATTTGTTTTCATAGGACTTTCTGATTCTTCGAAAATTTTGATGGTTCAATAACTTCGTCATTTTCTGGTTCATTGATCGTGAGTGGGGCATACTGATTTGAAACTAAAATATCATTATTCAATTGACTATACCCTTGTTATACCGGGTTGATGTGTATATTCGGAAATTAATAACTTCACCTTTCCTTTAGGATTTTCGTCTTCCGTCAAAAATTTTGCCCTTCCTATAACAGCTGCATGGGATAATTATTACATGGCTTTAGTCATTTGAAATCAGTATCATAATTCAAAATTGTTAAGACAGGTTTGAAATAACAGCCGATCACCGATCAATGATCGGCAAGAAATTGCTTATAATCGGCGGAAAAGCAGGGTTTCCAACCTGAAAAAAGCAGGGAAACTGCCGGTCATGACTGCCAATCGCCATGATCGGGAACTTTGGGAACGTTATTTCAAGCAATGTAAAAATACAAATTTACAATTACATGTATCGAAACTTACAATTACAATTAACTGACACATGTATAAACTATATGTTTTTTTTATAATCAAATCGTTTAATTTTATTATAAAGAGCACTAAAGTCTACTTGCCTCTACCGATGCAGTATTCACAAAATTATAATATTCATTGACATTGATTGAAAATAATTGAATTGGTTATGTAATTCTTATACTGATAGATCGTGTTTATGGTATTTAATTTAGTACTATACCACCACGTCAGCTAAGGCTGAGCTATAAATTTAATATCGTGTTTATAGAAGAAATACGTTTAGTTTCATTGTTATTATTGACAGTAGTCATGCAGCAACACATTTGCCAAATTTACGCTTGGTTGCCTTTGCCTCAGCGTGTTGTTATTTTCCTATGGCTATGTCGTAAACACTGAAACACATTATCATTGTCTTCACAAACATAGTAATATACTTAGTTTATATTTTCAAATTCAATCAATTTCATCATGTTTGATGAAATTGATTGAATTTGAAAATATAAACTAATTAAGTCGTGTTTACACTGCAAGCCTTGACCTAGCCTTGGCCAGCCCAAGGTAAATGTGGCGCGTTTACACCATTACACTGTTTTTGTGAGACTGGCTCACTTTGGCCTAGAATTTTGTAATTCATTTTGTGTATTTTCATGTGTTGTGACGTTGTCCGCTGGTTGTCCACTAATCTTTCACCGTGGGCACACGTTGCCATAAATATAAGGCCAAGGCCAGGGCCGAAAGTGTTTACATTTCCACAAGCCTAGGCCAGGCCTTGGCCACCGGTTGTAGTGAGCCCAGATTTCCTGGCCTAGGTCAGGCCAAGGCTGGTAATGTAAACAGGACTTTAGTATGTACAACGTGCATGTCATACCCTTTCAAAGCCTAGAAACATTTCGTCCTATAAATTGAACATTATTCAATATATTAATTAGCTTAAAATGTCTATGTAATTTTGTCTCCTTATTGTAATAAATAAATAAATAAATCACATTTTTCAACGCTCTTTTCAACTTGCAATCGTTTTGTTTTAAACAAAAAAAATTAAAACTTATATAGGGGGCGAATTTCCTAAGGGGGGCGATATTTTTAGGGTATTCACCCCTTGTGGGCAATATTCCTCGGATATTTGCCCCCCGGGGGCAATATTGCTAGGAATATCGCCCACCTTTTAAGAGGGGGCGAATCTCCTGTGGGGGGGGGGGGGCAAAATTCCTGTGACACCGGTACTGGGAAAACATCACATTATTTTCGTAATTAATTTTATTTTTGTATTTTTTTCAGGTGCAGCTTGTTTCTTTGTGAAACCATTCTACCTTCGCTATTCAAGAGGATATTGTATTAAAGACACAGGTCGAATAGAGTCAAACGGCAGTTGGGGAAACTTGTCTTTTCTACGAGTTTCTTTCAGCTGTCTGGATCCAGCGGCTCAGTTTCGGTTTCGTGATAATGGTGCCATGTTAAATCTAAAAAGACAGGGATGTCTTGCTGCTTTTCATAGGAATGGTTCTGGTGATGATCTTGATATGTTTTATCTTTACGTTGACTCAGTCAGTTTAGACACAGCTGCTTGCGCTCAGAAGCCTAACGAGAGCATCTATCGTGCTATAACCCAGACACCCAAGGGAGCATTATCTGTTTATTATAAAGGGAAAGATAAAAGTTTATTTGAAGCCTGGTGTGCAGTCAGGAAAAATCACCACGTCGAATTGACGACACAGTGTCATTACAACTATTTTGATAAGAGATTTATTTTCGGTACGTTTTTGTTAAACGTCTTGTAATGGCTCCCTGTAGCTCCCTATACTAGTAGAGTTTTAAAACATATTTATATAGATCAGAGGTAATCCTCGTGACTCGCGCATGGAATGTTCGTGGCCCAGTAAAAACTTAAAATCAAAGCGCAGTAAGTTGTTTTTTTAGTTTTATCTGCCAAGAAAACGCCAGTTTTTATTATAATTCTAAAGTTTCAAAATTCGAACAATACATGTGTTGTTAACTTGTTTTTGACCTGTCATTCAGTGTATTTTTATGTATTTAATGTATTTATAATGCTCACAATTTCAAAAACAGTGTAGCAGACTCAAATGATGTCTTAAACTGTCTTCAAGGCACTCCTGAACTGTCACCGAAACTTACGTACGCTAAGTCATGTCAATAAACTCAATTCACATGTACTGTTTTATCTGCTGAATATAATAAAACTATAGTGCAATTTGCAACGTTAACAGTTACGAGTTGTTTTATACCAAAATTCAAACTCTAGTTGAATGTTGTGAAAAGTTTTTACGCCGAATTTCACACTAACAAAGCTAAATTTAAGAAACTTTGGATTAATTCAATGCGTCATTGTGTTCTCATATTTTCATATTTTGAACATATATCTTCTATTTTCATCTCAAATAAGTAAAAAAAGTCTGAGTGATGTATGTAAGTTAAAAACTCAAAGTTAAAATTACTAAAAAGCCAACTACAAACCACACGCGTATCGTGTTGATCACGCAATACAATTTACACGCATGCGCAAATAGTGACCATGTCAATCGATATTTTGTCACGCCATCAGCTCCTTAACTGGATTATATTTCCCGCTATATTTCTCGCGTTTCCTTTGGTGAAATGTTTTTAAACTTTGGGTATTTGCCAAACATGTTGATCAGTAAAACATATCAAAATTTTAAGAAACTCTAGAAAACACAGTTTCTGTCGTCGTTATTCATGAATATCTTGAAACCTGGGGCCGGTTGTACGAAGGACGGATAGCGCTATCCACCGGATAGTGATTTTTTCAAGCTTTCTTAAATCAGCCGTTGATTGGTATAACTCGTATTAAAGTTTAGTATTTATAAGTTAAGGTGGTTCAATACACTTTTTAGCCAAAAGAGCAAAAGTTGAATATTTTCTGTTTAAACGCTTTTACAGGGTTAGGTTTTACTTATAATTGTAACACATAGTAAGATGTGTCGCAAACAAGAAGAATTCTGATAAAAGTCGCGTTTCCATGACAACTATAACGAATAATTGTAACACTAAATAGCCGAAAATATCGCAGTTTTTCGAGTTTTTTTCAAAAATGAGTTCGGTGACCCTAATTTTTGTAATAAATCAGTTACGTTAGTGTCGAGAAGCATTTATGGGAAGTTTAAAAAAATCTGTCGACTCAATTCTTTAGAATTAAATTTCGACTTTTTTGACAGTTTCTGTCGACAATTTTTTTTTATTTTTCCATGATGAAATCTTGAAGTATGTATCTACTCATGTACAAATTTTCAGGGTACCTTACCGAACTCGTTTTGGAAATAATCACGGTGTTATTCCGCACGGCCAAAGTTTTTCACACTCTGCAAGGTGAATGAATTGACATGCGCGTACATGTTTTCGCAGGCGCATCTCCAGAAAAACATGCACAAAAAAGTTTTTAGTCCAGTCTCGTCGAAATATCAAATATATATTGTGTTTTCTTGCTTAGAAATGCAAATATATTTAGTTTTGCATGCTAACTCGGGATAACGCCAAGAAAACAGGTGATTGTCGGTCGTTTGGTATAAGATATGTGTGACATGTATGAACTTTATGGCTTTTCTACATAGTTTTATATTCGTTTTCAGTCGTAACTTCTGTGTATTCATGTTGTTGTTGACAAGTTAAACATCAAAATAATGACTTGTGGTTCGGACTTTAGGTTTAGATTTTAAATTTTTGCATATATTTTAAATGTTTTTTATACTTCTTGTGTTATCTATATCCGTAGTTTCACAACAGATGGGAAATTTGACTGAGCATGAGCGAAAACTGCTCGGGTTTTAGCTGGAGAAGAAGATATGCGTGCTTCCACTTGGTTGATTTAAAAAACATAAACAACATGAACGAAGCCTTCGAAAGACAATTTTGCAGTGGCTGTTTAGGCCCACAAATCACCACAAAAATTGGATTCACTGTAACATGACAAAATTTGTGTTTATAGAATTTTGAACGAGCGAAAATTGTGTTTAGAAACAATACAAAGTTTGCGCTTCGGAATGAGGGTCATAGAAAAATCTGATTGCTTTTTTTTTTTATCTTTTTTAAATACTTTGAAAACCTAAAAATAATATTTTAAAACTATTATAGCAAAATACATGGTGAGATTTTATTTGATGCTCATTTTCTGAGTCGCTTTTTTCGTACAAATCACACTCTTGTACATGAAATTTGCCAAAATTCAGTACTTTCTTCATTTTTTAGGCGAGTTTGCATTCTATTATATTAGCAAAAACTAGAAA